ATGAGGCCCCTGTTTCTCAATGTCCTGTGGAAATGGCTGCACGCACCTCTGAGAGAAATCTGCCCTGAGTTTTGCCCATTGCTAGACAGTCTAGTTTCTCCCCAAATGAGTGAATATTTAAAGTCTCTCTCGGAACTGGATTTCATTGCAGTCAGGAGGCTTTGTTTCCCTCCTGAACGAGAAAGCTAGCCCGTGCTTGCTGCCTGCCCCTCTCTGAGAGCTGAGAGTAAGCCAGTCATGTATTCAGCCACCTGCCCTTTCTATGTACGTGGGTTTCTGCAACTGTGTCCTCCACAGCTCCTCTGAGTCTCAGGGTCCTTTTTTTTTTTTTTTTTTTTTTTTTAAATCTTTATTGTTCGGATTATTAGATTATTATAGGTGTTCCTCTTTTTAATTTCCCCTCCCATAGCTCCCCTCCACCCGATTGCCCACGCCACCCCATGCCCTTACCTCCCCCACTACAGTCTTCATCCATAGATGTAAGACTTTTATCTTATCTCTTCCCACACCCCTTAATTCCCTTCCCCCTGAGAATTATCAGTCCACTCCCTTTCTATGTCCCTGATTCCATTATATTCACCAGTCCATTGTGTTCTTTAAACTTTTTATTCACTTGATTTTTACCGTATTTTCCGGCATATAAGACAACCCCATAATTTTACAGTTAAAACATAGGTTTAGGCCTATATTCGCTGTATAAGACTACCCCCCACTTCAAAGATAAGACTTACATTGCCTTCAAGATCTGCAGGTAATTTTTGTGCAATTTTGGTCTTTTGCCCCTGATTTTTGGTTGACTTTTTTTTCGTTTCAAAAGTCGTCTTATACACCGGAAAATACAGTAGTTTCACTTGTTGGTAGGTATATTTGATGTCTTTTTGTTGTTCATAATTTTTATCTTTATCTTTTTCTTCTTCTTTCTCTCCTTAAATAATATCTTTCAGCATTTCATGTAATTCTGGGTTGGTAGTGATAAACTCCTTTAACTTTTTCTTGTCTGTGAAGCTCTTTGACCTTCAATGATACCTTTGCTGGGTAGAATAATCTTGGTTATAGGTTCTTGCTGTTCATCACTTTGACTATTTCTTGCCACTCCCTTCTGACCTGCATAGTTTCTGTCGAGAAATCAGCTGACAGTCATATGGGTACTTCCTTGTAGGTAACTATCTGTTTTTCTCTTGCTGCTTTCAAGATTCTCTCTTTGTCTTTTTCCCTTGGCATTTTAATTATGATGTGCCTTGGTGTGGTCCTCTTTGGAATCCTCTTGTTTGGGGTTCTGTGTGCTTCCTGGACTTATAAGTCTGTTTCTTTCACCAGGTGGGGAAAGTTTTCTGCCATTATTTATTCTAATAGGTTTTCTTTTTTCTTTTTTTTTTTTTTTAAATATATTTTTATTGATTTTTTTTTACAGAGAGGAAGGGAGAGATACAGAGAGCTAGAAACGTCAATGAGAGAGAAACACTGACCAGCTGCCTCTTGCACACCCCCACTGGGGATGTGCCTGCAACCAACATACATGCCCCTGACCGGAATCGAACCTGGGACCTTTCAGTCCGCAGGCCGATGCTCTACCACTGAGCCAAACCGGTTTCGGCTTTAATAGGTTTTCAATATTTTGTTCTCTCTCTTCTGGCACCTCAAAAATGTGGATGTTGGTACGCTTAAAGCTGTCCCAGAGGCTCTTTACATTATCTTTGTATTTTTGGATTCTTTTTTCTTTTCGTTTTTCTGGTTGGGTGTTTTTTTTTGTTTCCTCGTATTTCAGATTTTTTTTGACTCTTGGAGTATGTTGATTGATAGTTGAGTTTCTGTAAATTCTTTATTTCAGACAGTGTATACTTAATTTCTGACTGATCGTTTTCCACTTTTTTTTTACATTCTCTTTAAGGTCCTTGAAGATCTCATCAAGTTTCTCAGCAGTTTTTAGAAGATTCTTGAGTACCTTATAAATGTGGTCCTGGACTCCGTATCGTCCTGTAGTTTGCTTTTCTCCATTGTCCCCTTTCGCAACATGCCTCTGTTTCTCTGTATTTTGGCTGCTTCCCCGTGTTGATGGAGTGGCTTTGTGTGGTAGGTGATCTACAGGGACCAGTAGCTCAGCCTCCCCAGTCATCGGAGGTGGTTGTTTTTGGTACACCCCTTTGTGGGCTGAGTGCAAAGTCTTGGTGTAGTTAAGCCTTGATTGCTCTTGGTACCCTGGGAGGAATTGTTCTCTAGGCCAATTGGCTGTGAGGATCTGCTGTGTCTATAATGGAAGAACTGCTGCGCTGGAGACACACTTATGGGGCAGGATTTGTTTCAGTGGGGCTTTGGTGTTTACTGAGTCTGCCTTTTGAATATGTCAGTTATTGATGTGAGGAGTTGAAATCTGTGTCTCACAGTGACCACTATGTTCACTGGCTTCTGGATCTCCAATGGGGTGCAGGTCAGCAACTGTCTGAGGCCACCCTGGAGGAGCTACAGCAAGAACTACAGTCCTCTCCTCTCTGCTTGGGATTTGTACATTATGGAGCTGTCTGAACCAGTTTGTAAGTTAGCAGCAAGTTAGCAGAGATAGTGAAGGCTATTCATATGCAAAAGCTATTCATATACTTTGGGCTTGGGTGTGTTTGTAGATTGTGCAGGGCAGAGTCTTAGGGGGTTACTATGTTAGGGAGTGGTAAACAGCAATGGCTACTAGTCAGCCATCCACACCTCCAACCATATCCACACATCTTGCGCCCCAGCGCAGCAAACAATTCTTCCTCTGTGCTGCTCTGCAAGCCAGTCACCCTCACTTTCCGACCTGATGGCAGACAGTCCAGTTTGTTTCCGTAGGAATTTGGGTCTCGAGCTTCTCCCTTTCGGGTTGAAGATAGCAATGCCTACTGACAGCCGGGATCTGCCGCCAGCCCATATAGCGTGCACCCCGTATCTCAGTTTTCAGCATTTGTGCATTGAATGTTCCTCTCTCTTTCCATCTGGTTGTAGAACTTCCACTCAGCCAGCCATCCCGTGGCTCTGGGTGATAGATATTTTGTCTTTTAGTTGTAGTTTTGAAATTGTTGTGCAGGACCGCAGTTTATGTGTGTTTATCTCCGCTGCCATCTTGGGTTCCTGAAAAATATTTGCCTGGTGCTGTTAGGTGTGGAGATGTGAGAGCAGTGCTCCCAGGAGGATGTGTCTCAGTAGCCTTTTATCTTTCCTGTAATTGTAGAATTTCCACTCAGCCAGCTTTCCAGTGGTTCTGGACGATGTCCACTCTGTCTTCCCGTTGCAGTTTTGAAATTGTTGTGCGAGGCAACAGTATAGGTGTTTTACCTATGCCACCATCTTTGTTTCTTCCTCTTCCTCTTTCTTGAAGTCTATTTTTTGGACTCCTTTTGAGTCCTTTTCTTTACAAGTCAGACCCCCTTGATCTATTTTCCTTCCTTGTCTCTTTCTCTTTCTGTCCCCTCCCAAACCCCATTATTTTCCTAGCCTCTTTTTGCCACAGTGGGAGACTAAGAATAGATGTGCCTTCCTTGTTTGGCCTGGCTCCAGACTAGTTTGGTGTTTCACAATCCCCAGTAATAAGGAAAAAATAAATACGTTTCTCTTAGTACCAGCAGTTATTTTCTTGTGCACTTAAATTTAACTTTAAAAGGTTTCTCTTTTAATTCTGTTCTCGTGTGATATTCAGAAAGATTTGAATCTAGCTTTTGAAGCAAGTTTCTATAATCTTTTTTGTTTTAGAAACCAGCTAACTCCTAGAATACAGCTTGTCTGCTAGGCAAAAGGACTCTTTTAGTTCACTATTAGGCTGGTGAAGTTCACCTGAGCCAAGGGTTCCAAGCCAGAGTTGTGCTGTTTATTAAAGTAGTGGGGCTGGAATATCATGAGAATGAGAAGGAGCAACCCTTCTTTTTCATTTTTCTATTTTAAATATATTTTTATTAATTTCAGAGGAAGGGAGAGGAAGAGAGAGAGAGAAATATCAATGATGACAGAGAATCATTGATTGGTTGCCTATTGCATGTCCCCCACTGGGGATCGAGCCCACCCTTGACCGGAATTGAACCCAGGACCCTTCAGAGTCCGCAGGCCAACTCTCTATCCACTGAGTTAGATCAGCTAGGGCCTTGCTCTTTTTTTGAAATCTTTATTTTAATATAGTCATTTTTAACCTTTAATACAGTTCTGCATGTTGTGGTGACCCCCAGCCATAAAATTATTTTCATTACTCCATAACTGTAATTTTGCTACTGGTATGAATTGTAATGTAAATATGTGTGTTTTCTGATGGTCTTAGGCGACCCTGCTAGTGGTTCTCAGCCTGTGTATTTTTGTTGCTACTTCATAACAGTAGCAAAATTACAGTTATGAAGTAGCAATGAAAATAATTTTATGGTTATGGGTCACCACAACATGAGGAACTGTATTAAATGGTCGCTGCATTAGAAAGGTTGAGAACCTCTACCTTAACAATTCATGTGAATTGTGCATTCTGCTCTAGAATTCATCTTTGTTTGCTTTACTATATATTTTCATTTCCTTCGTAATATTTTACCTAAACTGATGCTTGGGAAGATAAAACCTTCCGTTTTCTTATGTGTTCTCCTGGTCCCCTGCATACCACCTCATTTTCCAGCTTTTAAGGATTTACGGCCAAAATCTTTTTATTAAGTGTCTCTTGCATATTTCTCATGGTAGTAGATGGCCTTTGGCTAACTGAGGTACAACTTCTTAGCCTTAACACATTAAATAATGCTTCTCAATCCTGATTATAAATAATTTGTATTAAAAGTTTTTCCATTGTAAAAAATGCACATATTCTGTGGAATTCCTTGTCTAGGTAGTCATAAGAAGGTAATAGTCAATGTTTATTGTGATTTTACTATGTGCCAGTTTCTGTGCTCACCCCTCTAATCTATCTTGCTGTTTAATTATGCAGTGATTTAAAAATAAATAACTGATCTTATAGAACTCATGCTACATTACTATTATTTATAATTAACAGATTTCAACACTAAACTTGCACAATGTCTTTGAAACCAAGAGTAGTAGATTTTGATGAAACATGGAACAAACTTTTAACGACAATCAAAGCTGTTGTCATGTTGGAATATGTTGAAAGAGCAACATGGAATGATCGCTTCTCGTATCCTTTCAATGACATTGATACATGGTCTTCTATTGATAATGATATTATATTGATAAATATATTAATTAACATGATAAATGTTCTAAAATTGATGCACTTGTTCAAAAGTGAGAACAGGTTGAAACATAAATGGGAGGATATTCCAGTGTTCTTGTATTACTATATACATTTCCAAGTTCATCACCTATATGTGGCAGTCATTAATCTTTGCTATCCTTTCATTCAACTTATATGTCAGATTTTACTTTAGGGAATCCATTTTTGAATAAAATGAACTACTTTGTTCACTCTACTAAGTGAAACAAACAATAAACATATTAAAAAATCTAATGCCAGTGCTTCTAACAGGGAGTGATAAATACTGTGGAGAAAGTAAAGCAGGATAAGGGCCATCAATTCCAAAGGAGACTAGCCAAGAAATGAAGAGAAGGCTGAGACTCAGAAGGGTAGCAATGAGAGAATTAGGAAAGATCACCAAGAGCAAAAATGTGTCATTAGACACAAGGCTAAGATCATCTACCCTTGTGTTTCCAATTATTGTGTACTGATGCAAAAGCTGGCAGTGAAGAAGGCTGATAGGAAAGAAATGGATTCATTTGAAATATGGTGCTGGAGGATAGCTCTATAGAAACCTGAATTGGAAGAAAGACAAGTGAGTCCAAGAGCAAATTAAGCCTGATACATCTCTGGAGGTAAAAATGAAAAAAATGAAACTGTCCTATGTCAGACATTTCATGAGCAGGCAGGGTTCTTTGGGAAAGCTAATAATGCTGGGAAAAGTAAAAGCCAGCAGGAAAAGGGAAAGACAAAAATGAGTTGGATTGATTCCATAAAAGAAGCCACACGCATGAGTCTGCAGGAGCTGAGTGGAGGATATCACTCATTCATGGGGTGGTAGAAAGCCAACTCAACAACACAACAGTGGTGTAGAGAATGGTTGAAGTACATACATGAGTGGCTTTTTTGGAAAGGATATCAAGGAAGGCCTTTTTGAGGAGGATGATAATTGAGGATTGGCTGGAACAAAGTGAGGGAGTAAGTCCTATAGATATCTGAGGGGAGAGACTGAGACAGAAACATGTTTTGTTTTATTTTAATTATATTTTATTGATTTTTTACAGAGAAGAAGGGAGAGGGAGAGGGAGTTAGAAACATTGATGAGACAGAAACACCAATTCAGCTGTCTTCTGTATATTTTCTACTGTGGATGTGCCTACAACCAAGATACCTTGGCCCCTCAGTCTGCAGGCTGATGCTCTATCCACTGAGCCAAACTGGGTAGGGCACCATGTGTTTTTTTTTTATTGGGTTGTCTATATCTGTGAATTTGGAGTTGCGTATGAAGAAACAAATATGAGGTTTCCCATTCTAAAACCTGGTGTCCTGCATTTCTACATGATGGCAATCTTAAAAAAAAGTATTAATGTGTACAGTATATAATTACTTATATAATAAGTATATTTATTTGTATAATAAAATGTAATTTAAATAGTATCATGTATATAAGTGCCACACTGCAAACCTAGCACTTTGGGTATAAACTCTGGCACCAAGAAAAAACCCCCAAATATTAAAATATTAAAATATTTTAGCTTCTTGGTATTTGAGAGGTTAAGGGATCTCTGGGAATCCTTTGCTCTAAGTTATGGACAGAGTTGTGGACAGTAGTCTTAACAACACTGTAGGTAGGTCAGTTGCTTAGAGTAGTGGTTGCCAACCAGTGGTCCGTGGATCACCGATGCCCATGAGGTCTGAAAGGTTGGTGACCACTGGTTTAAGGAAACCTTTGGAGCAGCGGTCGCTAACTGGTGGTCCGTGGGATCCGAAAGGTTGGTGACCACTGGCTTAGAGAATTGTCCTGATATGGCAAGGTTGCAGGTTCGATTGCTGGTCAGGGCACATATAAGAATCAACTAATGAATGTATAAACAAATGGAACAACAAATCAATGTCCCTCCCTCTCTCTAAAATCAATAAAACCTTTAAAAAAGAAAATACTTTATTTAATAAAATGATATTGAAGAAATATATACATAAATACATGAAGATAGTTTATTTTTTACTAATATTTATTAAAAATAAAGAAAGGGATTTAAAAGGAACATGGGAAAGTCTGACTGATATCTACCAGACTTCCATGTGAGGAAGACTGCTTGCTCTTTCCAGAGTAATGATACTGGGTTAATAGGCAAGAACATGTGTGATTTGATTCCTATTTCCTTTGCATCACAAAGCATTGACTAAGTGTCTGTTACATGCCATGAACTCTGCCAAGGGGCTGGGAATATAGAGATGATTAAGAATAGGATAGTGTGGATAACAAAGGTATAAATAATTTTTACTGTATAAAAATAAGTTTTATAGAAGAATATATAAACTATGTTTATGTCCTTTTTTACATAAACTGTATTTTGTAGCTGCCCCTCTGAATTTTAATTTCTCTGAGAGGAACAGTTTTCTTTACCATAAAATAATCCTCAATAAATATTTGTCGAATGAGTAAATGAACATATCTTCTAATGCTTTTGAAATAAGCATGGTTATAATTTTCCCTTTTCTTTATCTATGTCTATATAATCTTAAACCACAAAAATGTGTGAAGCTTGAGTTAAATAAATCTCATTTGTTGTAAAGAATATTTCCAATAAATGTGAAAACCTTAACAGTTTAACTAGAGATATCTATGCTTTATGTGTGGCCTATCCTGAACCTCTTGGAGAAAGACTTTATACAGAAACTAAGATTTTTTTGGAAAATCACGTACGGCATTTGCACAAGGTAAGGAATGATACATACATGATATAAATATGTTTGTAGTTGCATAGTTATTTGCTTAGTTCACTGTTTTGCAGTACAGAACTAAGATCAAATTAAGGTTTATTTGTTTTGTTTCCTAAATGGCATTTTTTCTAGTTATATATATTTAAGATCTATTTGTCAAGAACTGTGCTTTTCCCACAAGGGAAATTAGTGTAGTTGCTGAAGATTATGTAAGTAGTAAGTGAAAGAGCAGGGTTTATTCACTTTTAAAATATGTTCCTATGTTCTCTGGAAAGGATCAAATTTTCTCTTACTTTTGCTTCCTACCTCTTGGTATATCTGTCTTTATTATTATCTGTCAGCTTGTTAGCTGCATCTTCATATCCTGTTTAAAGTCTTACAAAAACCTAAAATTAAAAAGAGAAATGGTAAATTTAAAAGCATGATTGAATTTTTTTCTGACCAGTTTATTAGGTTAGTATATCATGTATATATTTAAGAATAACATCACAGATTTGTTCTGTGCAAAAATAAATTTGCAGTCTCTGACTTGCCTACTGATCTTGTTCAGGAGTTGAGTGAGGTCATTTATTATCTGAGCTAGTAACTTGACTCTCACCTTTTAGTAGCTGTGTGACCATGGACAACTCACATAACCTACTTTAAGTTTATAAAATGGAGATAAAATAACACAGTCTAATGTCTAACCCTTAGAACAGATAGTTTTCAAAGTGTAAATAACTCCTAAGTAAAGTCCAGTTGATCGATCATATGATAGTTTCCTTTAAAACATTCAGAGGATATGCTCTATTTTCTTTTGTATATGGCAGTTACAGTGGTTCTTAATATGTACATTTACTAGTTCATGAAAGCGATGTTGATCACAAGTACTTCAAATCAGTCTTAAAATATTTCCTATGTTAAGTTAGTTTTAAAATTAAAGTTCTGCTAGGGTGAGCATAATTGATAATTGTTTAAGGCAGTTATAAATTTTGTAATTTTATATTTTAGCATAGGTTGTAAGTGATTTAAAAAAAACTATGAAGTAATTTTAGATTTATGGAAAAGTTACAAAAATAGTAGTTCTTGTTCTCATATACTTTTTATCCAGTTTCTTAATGATAATGTCATGCATAATAGTGGTATGGTATTAAAACTAAGAAGTTGTGTGCTTAAAAATTGTATTTTGAAGTAGTTTTATGATAGTTTATAATAGTTACACACTATATGTTCTCATATCCAGTGACAAAAAAAGAAGTTGGCTAATGTGTAGATGATAAAGTAAATTGTTAATATAGCCAACAAAATCAGTTTCACCTCTGAGAAGAAAAGAAAATTAAATATATTGTTATTGATTTCAGAGATGAAGGGGAGGGAGAGAGAGATGGAAACATCAATGATGAGAGAATCATTGATCGGCTGCCTTCTGCACGTCCCCCACCTGGGGGACTGAGCCCGCAACCCAGGCCTGTGCCCTTGACTGGAATTAAACCCGGACCCTTCAGTCCACAGGCTGACGCTCTATCAACTAAGCCAAACCAGCTAGGGCTGAGAAAAAAATTTGATTTGATTCGGGGAGGGAACTTTTTAAATTACTAACGTATTATATTACCATTACAAATAATTTAGGATATACAGATAAGCAATAAAGAAGAAGGAAACATCCCCATACATAACTCCAGAATTAATCATTGTTAATAGTTTCCATATATGTTTATTAAAATAAATCTCTTTTGGTACATACTAATACACATATAATTTGATTTAATAATTACTATAAAACTTCTGTTTTTTGTTTAAAAAAAAATATATTTCATTGGTTTTTACAGAGAGGAAGAGAGAGAGACAGAGAGCTAGAAACGTTGATGAGAGAGAAACATCGACCAGCTGCCTCCTGCACACCCCCTACGGGGGATGTGTCCGCAACCAACATACATGCCCCTCACCAGAATCGAACCCGGGACCTTTCAGTCCGCAGACCAATGCTCTACCACTGAGCCAAACCGGTTTCGGCTAGACTTCTGTTTTTTATTAGAAAGATAACTTTAAAATATTGGACCTCAGATTTAAGTTTGATTTTCATTTTTTCAAAAAATAGCATTTTCTTTTAAGTAAATAAAAAATCTTGCTTGGGGTATGTGGAAAAAGTATCAGTTTTCATAAATATTCACAAAAGTGAATAATTTGAAGTAATGATATATAGGTCTGATTTACTTATATACTAGCAGGTTGATCACATGTTATAGATTTGAGGAAACACATAGAAACATGACAATAGAATTGTATTCTGTATGAACTGATCTTAATATATTCTAGTCCAAAGAAAATTTCAAATCATTACACTTGTCCTTTTAGCTTAGAGAATGAAACAGTTACTCTCCAGTATGATGCTTCACTTTCATATCTAAGACTCACATGTTTTTCTAGTTGTTTCTTAGAATGGAATTTATAAATGTAATTTATAATGTTTAAATTATGTCTGTTATTTTAAAATACTAACTTTTGACAAATTTTATAGCTTACAAATGAAAGTGATTAGTGCTTTCCAAGTGAAAATTTTTTCTTCTTTGTCTAGAGAGTTCTGGAATCTGAAGAGCAAGTACTTGTTATGTATCATAGGTATTGGGAGGAATATAGCAAGGGTGCAGACTATATGGACTGCTTGTATAGGTAAGTATTCTTTTAAGCTCTATGACAATTTCAACAGTATTGCTTGCATTTATAATTGAAGTGTTTTTAAAGATATTTTTATTTTTTAACTTTATTTTTATTGTTGACACTATTATAGATACCCCATTTTCCCTCCCTTTGGCTTCCTCCACAATCCTCACCCCTCTTCCCTCTGATTCTTATCACTGCTGTCTGTGTCTATAGGTTATTCACATATGCTTTTTGGTTAATCCCTTCACCTTTCATCCAGTACCCACTCCCCTGTCCCCGCTGACAGCTGTCAGATTATCACATGTATCCATGTCTCTGCTTCTACTTTGTTCATTAAATTCCACATATTATTGAGATCATATGGTATTTGTCTTTCTCTGACTGTTGCAAAAGGTAAGAAAGATTTTCTTTTATTTTATTATTATTTTTTAAAAATATATTTTATTGATTTTTTTACAGAGAGGAGGAGAGAGGGATAGAGAGCTAGAAACGTCGATGAGAGAGAAACATCGACCAGCTGCCTCTTGCACACCCCCCACCGGGGATGTGCCCGCAACCAGTGTACATGCCCTTGACCGGAATCGAACCTGGGATTTTTCAGTCCGCAGACCGATGCTCTACCACTGAGCCAAACCGGTTTCGGCAAGATTTTCTTTTCTTTAAAAAAAAAATAAAAATAAATCTTTATTGTTCAGATTATTACAGGTGTTCCTCTTCCCTCACCCCCCAATAGCTTCCCTCCACCTGATTCCCCACACCACCCTATTCCCTTACCCCTGCCACTGTCTTTATCCATAGGTGTAAGATTTTTTTAAAATATATTTTTATCATTGATAGTATTATAGATATCTCCGATTCCTCCCAAAAAATTAATATTTTTTTAGCATCTTACTATAAACAAGTACTGCCTAGTACTGTATATTGATAGCACATGTGCTCAAAAAGTTAGCAATGCACTATTTAGCCAGTAATTACATCATTACCTTCATGGGTATTAGAACTATAATTAGCTTTACTAAGCTAAGACATTCTTCTCTTATGTTGGTAATATTTAACAATATTTTCCTGGTTAATGCCAACCAAAAACAAGTTTTATCTTGCAATGTTGCCTAGATGATCCATATAGAAAGATTTTCTGTGAAATTCTCCAGTGGCATGAACACTAGGTGAGTGTTTTTTATAGTTTCCTCGTGTTTATTTTTTAGGGTGATAAAACATATAAGATCAAAGTAAGATAGATCTTCGATCAAATCTAGGTTGGTCACTTTGCTGATTTTATGTTTTTACCATCAACAGTTAGGCTTTGCTTCAGTGAGTCCTTGTAGATTAATCTTCCCACTCCTGTGACAGCTATTTGCTTTCCAAAAACAAGTTATCCTTGCTGTATTTTGTCTTTCTTCTTGTCATCTTTGAAGTCCTTTGAATTAGGCTGCAGTGATCCCTACAAGGGCCTTTGTTCACTGGTAGTTTTATGTTGTTTATGTATAAAAGGGTGAGATTTATAAAAATATCTGTGCTAAACACAGATTTGAATATTTTGCTTTCCCATATTTAAAACCTTTTTACTTTCACTATTGCTCTAATTATGTTTTCATTTTTTTTTTTTTTAGCATAGTTTGCAAAATCCTGCAAGGACCTCATTTTTATCTCTTATTTTCCCCCCACTTTGCCCACTATGCTTGAACTCTTAAGTTGTTTAAACAATCCATGATCTCTCTCATCTGCTCAGAACACTCTTATATTTTTATCCTCCGCCTTCTCTCTCTCTTTTTAAAAAAAAATATATTTTATTGATTTTTTTTTTTTTTGCCCCCCTGCCTCCCTCCTATACATACCCTCCCTCCCCAGAGTTTTATGTCCATTGGTTGTACTTACATGCATGTACACAAGTCTTCTCCTTCTGGCATATCTATTATGTGAATATTGTTACATTTTATTTTGTCCTACAGCTCCCTTAAGCTGTCCTCTTGTTTTTTTTTATTGTTTTCTCTTTTCGGATGCCTGATTGAGTGATTTTTTTTCTACCTTATCTTTTAATCCACTAATTTGATTCTTTGCTTTCCCTAATCTGCTCTGTCTTCCTTCCAGTGTGCTTGATATTAGAGCCATGTCATTCTTCATAGCTCTCATATCTTTTCTCATGTTGTTGAGCATTTTTACCATCATAATTCTAAACTCTATGTTTCATAAATTTCTTATCTCCATTTTATTTAGCTCTTCTAGAGAATTCTTTTTTCTTTCTGTTGGAGGTTTTTTGTCTTCCCATTTTGGCTGCTTATTTGGGTTTGTGACTGTATTAGGTAGATCTTACCTGTCTCCCAATCTTTAGTGCAGTACAATGTCAAACACTGTTTCTGACTTATTAGATCAGATGCCTCTTGATCTAATTAGATCAAAGCCCCTAGAGACTACCACTGCCTGTAGAGTGATTGTATTGTCCAGAGTTGCCTCAGGCAATCCTCCACAGGCGGGACAAGAGATCTTCCTACAGCATGGGGCACTTATTTCCACCAGAATCTAATTGTTATTCTCAGTCTCTAAATGGCCCTCAGAAACTCCACAGGATGGGGCCTAGGTTTTCCAATAGTGTGGGTCAACTGTCTATCCCTCCAGTCAAAAACCCATTTTGATAGCAAAGGTTTCCCCCAGAAAGATGACCTCTGCATGGAGAGGAAATGACTTTCTATAGGAAACTGGGGTATCTGCTCTCCAAGATCTAACCCCAGGGCCCTTAACCCTGGCTTCTGCTCACACAGCTCCAAACCACTCTTTCCTTTCTCTGCTGGTGCACAAGGTGAGTGGCTGCACACTAAATTTTGTTTGTTGGCTCTTTAACCAGTTGACTGCCTCAATATTTTGAATTTAATTATAAAGGTCCTAGGTTTGCATCCGCAGATGCTTATGGTGTACAAATGGTTATGTGGGCACCTGCATTTCCCTGGCAGACAGCAACCTTGCTGCTTTTCACAGCCAAATGTTATGTGGGCACCTTTCTCAGTTCTGATGCTCTCTGCTAAAGGCCTAGCTTGGGGATTAGACTACAGAGTTCTCAGTGACAACCTCTTATAGCTAAGATACCTCTCTGGAACTTCACTGCTGTCTCTGGGGGCCTTCACAGCTCTTCTGTGCCTCTGCCTTTCCTACCAATATCTATGCTGTCTCCACTTTCCATCCTTGGAAAAATTATTGCTAGTTTTAAGTTGATTATTTAGGAAGATTATTTTGTATTTTAGTTGCAATTCCAGTTTTCTCCTGGGTTTGTGTGTATAGCATCCATTTACTCCACCACTATTTTTAATCTCTTAGAAACATTTTCTTTATAAAGCTGTTTTTCTCAGTAGACAGAGTGATCAAAATGTCAGCTTTATACATACTTCTTACGCTCTGTAACAATTAATTTCATTTTCTTACTCACTGATTGTAATTTTTTTTTGTTTAAAATTGAAACCTTCAATCCCCGGCACGCAGGGAAAAGTATAAATTAGAGAATATACCTGACTTTGATTTTTTAACCATTTTGTTTTTTAATTATTTGCAAAGCAATCTTATTTTGACTTACCAAGAATAATCTGGAAATGATCTAATGAGATTGTTGAAGGGTTGTCTGTTGGATAGATCTATTAGACTATGGGCTTTTGGAGTTTCTATATCCCTCCCTTCCTCCTTCTCTCCCTCCTTTTTTTTTTCTTTCTTCTTTTCTTCCCCTCATCCAAGTGTATATTTATTGTTTATTGATTTTAGAGAGAAGAAGAGAGATCTAGTGAGAGAGGAAGAAACACCGATGCCTCCCATATGTACCCTGATCAGGGATCAAACCTATAACTATGTATAGGCTCTGACCAGAAATTGAAACTACAATCTTTTTTTTTTTTTTTTTTTTAATATATTTTATTGATTTTTGTACAGAGTGGAAGGGAGAGAGATAGAGAGTTCGAAACATCAATGAGAGAGAGTCATCGATCAGCTGCCTCCTGCACACCCCCTACTGGGGATATGCCCGCAACCAAGGTACATGCCCTTGACCGGAATCGAACCCGGGGCCCTTCAGTCCCCAAGCCGACGCTCTATCCATTGAGCCAAACCGGTCCCGGCGGAAACTACAATCTTTTGGTGTATAGGATGATGCTCCAACTAACTGAGCCACCTGGCAAGGATCCCTTGAGTTTTTAAATTGAAACTGTGATTATAGGTTGTTTTTGTTTTGTTTTGTTTTGTTTTGTTTGTTTTGTTTTTGCTGCTCTAAAGGTCTTATCCTTTGTCTCTTAAGTCCTTACATAGAAAGTTGGGTAATAATTTTAAATCTTTTGGATATATTACTCAACTACGTATTCTGTATTTGATTTGTAACCCTAAAATTATTGTTCCAAAGTTGCAAGCTATTTGTTTTTCTACCTATTTGACATACTTTTCAATGATATTACATTTGTTTTTCAGGTATCTCAACACCCAGTTCATTAAAAAAAATAAATTGACAGAAGCTGACCTTCAGTATGGCTATGGTGGTGTAGATATGAATGAACCGCTTATGGAAATAGGAGAGGTAAAAAATTCTTTAAAATATTGTCAAGCATAAGAATGTTTTTATTTATTTAAAAATATTTGGTTCACTGTCCTTTTTTTTTTTTTTTTTTTTTTTTTTTAAAGGACACTGAATTAACTAGGTTAAAATTCAAAACATCCTAAATTTACATAAATAAAATACTGTAATGATTTTCTAAGAAACTTCAAATAGATGAGAAGAACAGAAAAGATATGATAAGAATTTTATATTTTAAATTTTAAAAGTAATTTAAAGTAAAACAGTGATGTATGCAGCTCAGGTAGTTTATTCAAATTTAAGTGTGGAGAATTATATAATGCATGTGCTGATTGTGAAAGAAATACTCTAGTATAATGTTTGCTTTTCCAGGTAATATGTATTTGTTGAGTAGCCAGACATAGTAGATGCAGTGGTGAACAAACATAAGGTCCTATCCTCATGGAAAGCAGATGCCAAAGAAGTAAAGAAATTAATGTTAAATTATGATGAGTATTATTGAAGGAAATAAACATAAGATGTAGTATTATTAGAGATTTACATTAGAATCATCCTTTTAAGAAATTTGTTGGAAATTTGTTTGAAAGTATTCCTTGCAGTCAAATTTATAATGGATAGACAATATAAATTTCCAGTGGCCAACAATAAAAAACTTATATGGAAGAATATATCCAGTATGATTTTGTTATAAAGGTGGGCAAATGAATAAAACAGTAGTAGAAAATGGTTCATAGGACCTTTAATGGTATATTTAATAGGAATAAAATTGAAGGGGAAAAAAGAATACTATGAAGCACATCAGTGAGAAATACCAGTATCTTAACAATGGTTGCTTTAATTTAGTCGGTTTATAAGTGAGTATTTTACTTAATGATTATTCTTTATTAACCCATCAAACTTGCTCCTTTTCCCTGAAGAAATCACTATACACAATTTGATTTATATCTTTTCTGAATTTTACCTGTGTATTTGCATATAAATTTCATGCATACCCGGGTAATAGTTTTTATTTTATTTTTTAAACAATGGTGTCTAACCATATCTAAAGTTCTCGAACTTATATTTCATACCCTTTTTGTTAACATGTCTAGGAGTTCTTTTCACATTAGTTAATTTTTGTGTGACTGGTTAATATTCTACATTAGGCAAATAACAATAATTTATTAATAATTTATTAAATGATTTGTCTTTTCTTTTTTTGTTATTACAAACAATAGTACAGTGAACATCATTTATTTATTAAATATTTTTTAATCCCTCTGTGTGCCAGACACTGTTTAGGAATACAGTAGTGAACAAAGTAGACAAAAAAGTTATACTCATAGAATTATATTTATGTATGTATCTTTATATAGAAGCAGAAATTTTGATAGAGTGGGTACGTGGAACTTGATTTTCTGGGTTAAAGCTAGCTCTGCCAATTGCCTTTCAAAAGGCTTTACCAGTTTGCCCTCCCACCACAGCTCAGATTTAAGTGTGGAGAATTGTATAATGCATATGCTGATTGTGAAATAAATACTCTAGAGTAATGTTTGCATTAAAACATTTGTATTAAAATCTCATTTTATGTATTACCTTCTATTTTTACTTGTTCATGCTATTTTTAAAAAAATGCAAAACTTGAAGAATGTTCCTTGTAAGAAGACAGATGCTTTTATTTATTTGAAATAGAATTACCAGTGGATCTGAGTAGAGTTACTCCAGAGAAACAGAATATAGAGGCAAAAAAACAGTCTTATACCTCTGTTGATACAGTTCAGTTAGAAACAGGAGCAATTAGTTTTTGATTCTGGAATAATTTGTACTATGTACAGGAAAAATATACAGTAGTTTAAAGGCTTAAATGTGAAAGGGAAAACTTGAAAACTTTTGGGAGACAATATAGAAGACCTTATGATTCTATGACCATACCCTTATGACCTTAGGGGAAGGAAAGAGTCCTTAAAAGACACAAAAAATACAAATGATAAAGGAAAAGATTGATAACTGAGCATATTATAATATATTTTTACTAAAAAATAAAGTAAAAAGTCAAGTCACAAACTATGACAAACCATAATATGTAAAACTGTCAAGGGGTTAATTTCTATAATATATAAAGAACTTCTAGATTTCATTAAGAATGAGATAAATATTAATGAGATAATGGGCAAGAGGTGAATTTCACAAGAAAAAAACTGATATGCACCATAAACAAAATGTTACTCAATTTCATTTGAGAAAAGGCCATTTAAAATTACAGGAGATGCTATTTTACATCTAACAGATTGGCAAAGTTTAAAGTCATACTTGTTGCCAAGGACATTAACTAATGGGAACTCTCATTCATTGCTTATCTTCTTCTATAATAATAAAAGTATAATATGCTAATTAGACCGGATGACCTTCCGGATGAAGCAAGGGCTGCCAGGGAAGCTCGGGTCCTGGGTGCCTGGGGTGCCTGTTGGCTGCTGGAGGGAAGCCAATGCCGGCAGCCAGGGGAAGGAAGGCCTTCTTTTGCACGAATTTTGTGCATGGGCCTGTAGTGTGAGTACATACTGGAAAACCATTTGGCTTGACTTAATAAAGCTGTATATGTCCCTAGCCCTATAAAGCAGCATCTCCAATCATAAGTGTATATCCAAGAACTTTTTGCTTATGTTCACCGGAAGATATATACAAGATAGTAACAATGTTCTCAAATAGCAAAACTGGAATCACAAACATCTCATGAGCAGTAAAAAGGAAAAATAAATCATGGTGTATTTATACAATAGGATACTATGTAGCAGTGTCAATGATTAACTATATAGCTGTATCTTTCAATTTAGATAATTTCAGTAACAGTTAAAAAATTTTAAAAACCATTCACAAAAGGTATACAGTGTGATTTCATTAGCATGGTCAGAAATGGTCAACTTTAAAAATATTATATGGGGATACTTATATATTTGGTCCAATTGTAAGTGAGGGAATGATTTAACACAAGATTCAGGATAGCAGAAATGTCTGAGGGGGAAGTAGGAGTACATTTGGGGCAATGGTAATGGTGAAGTCGTATTTCATAAATCTGGTAAATACAGATTTATTTTATTTTACTATCCCTTAAGTTGACTTATCCTTTTATGTTTGTATGAGAGGCTTTATAACTTAAAAAATTAGCTAATAGCCAAATTACATTATTTTATTCAATTTAACTCCTTTGGTTGTTACAATCTTGGCATCAATAGTCCATAATACTGAGCATTTAATAGTTATATAAGGTTTTATAAAAATTAATTATTTCTGTAAAATTTCAACTAATTTAAAGACGGTTTATTCTGTTTTTTTTTTTTTTTTTTTTTTTTTTAATGGCATGTTGTGTATATATTTATTTATTTATTTATTTATTTATTTATTTTTTTAAATCAATCTTTATTGTTCATATTATTACAAAGGTTCCTCATTTCTTCCCCCCTCCACCAAGTTCCCATCCCACCCTCTGCCCCCTCCCCATCCCCCATTGTCCTCATCCATAGGTGCAGTTTATGTTCAGTCTCTTCTTCCCTCAATTTCCCCAATAGTAAATCCCTTTTCAGATAGTAAATCAGTTACTTAGCATTTTCTCATATCAATAATACCTCCACATGCCAATTGATACACTTCACACAAAAGACATTTCCCACTAGGTCCACCAGCCTCATCCAGGCCCCACCCAAGGCACTCACAGATCAACACTCCAGTCCTAAACTAACTCAACACATCCAGATCTAAGCCTTCATCACTTGATTCAGCAGATCCTCAAGTTCCCACGAAAGTTTCCAGCCATGTCTGAGAAGCAGCCGTGGGGCAGGGGCAGGCAAGGAGCGAGCTGTTCTGGGCCTGGCTGCTCAGGGCCTGGCCTCTGTTGCTCTGGTTCATTCCACAACCAGCTGCTCCGGGTCTGGTCACTGCCGCTCCCGACCTAGTTGCTCTGGACTTGGCTGCTGCTGCTCCGGGCCTGGCCGCACCCGACCCGCCTGCTCCCCCGGGCCTGGCCGCTCCCAGCCTGGCAGCCGCTGCTCCGGGCCTGGCCGCACCCGACCCGCCTGCTCCCCCGGGCCTGGCCGCTCCCAGCCTGGCAGCCGCTGCTCCGGGCCTGGCCGCACCCGACCCGCCTGCTCCCCCGGGCCTGGCCGCTCCCAGCCTGGCAGCCGCTGCTCCGGGCCTGGCCGCACCAGCCCCGCCTGCTCCCCCGGGCCTGGCCGCTCCCAGCCTGGCAGCCGCTGCTCCGGGCCTGGCCTCACCCGACCCGCCTGCTCCCCCGGGCCTGGCCGCTCCCAGCCTGGCAGCCGCTGCTCCGGGCCTGGCCGCACCCGACCCGCCTGCTCCCCCGGGCCTGGCCGCTCCCAGCCTGGCAGCCGCTGCTCCGGGCCTGGCCGCACCAGCCCCGCCTGCTCCCCCGGGCCTGGCCGCTCCCAGCCTGGCAGCCGCTGCTCCGGGCCTGGCCGCACCCGACCCGCCTGCTCCCCCGGGCCTGGCCGTTCCCAGCCTGGCAGCCGCTGCTCCGGGCCTGGCCGCACCCGACCCGCCTGCTCCCCCGGGCCTGGCCGCTCCCAGCCTGGCAGCCGCTGCTCCGGGCCTGGCCGCACCCGACCCGGCTGCTCCCCCGGGCCTGGCCGCTCCCAGCCTGGCAGCCGCTGCTCCGGGCCTGGCCGCACCCGACCCGCCTGCTCCCCCGGGCCTGGCCGCTCCCAGCCTGGCAGCCGCTGCTCCGGGCCTGGCCGCACCTGACCCGGCTGCTCTGGGCCCGGCTGCCCCGGGCCCGGCTGCTCCGAGCCTGGCCACTCCCAACCTGGATGCTCTGGGCTTGGCTACTGCTGTTCTGGGTCTGGCTGCTCCCACCCCGGCTGCTCTGGGCCCGGCTTCTCCGGGCCCGGCCACTGCGGGTCTGGGTGTTCCTGGACTGGCCACCCTGGGCTTGGCCGCCTCCGCCTCATGCCTGGCTGCCACTGCCCCAGGTCTGGCTACTCCAGTGCTGGCTGTTGATGCTCTGGTTCTGGCTGCTGTTGTTCTGGGGCCTGGCCGTTGCTGCTCCGGGTCTGGCTGCCACTGCCTTGTGCCTGGCCACTCTAGGCCTGGCCACCACTGTTCCAACATTCTGTCCTTTTTTTTTTCTTTTTAAAACTCATTTATGTTGCAATGTTGGCTGGTGAGTTGAGTTCTGACTTAGTCTTTGATTTTTCAAGATCTTCTTTATATTCTTTCTTAAGTAATTTTACTATTGTTTGCTCTCACTTGATTTCTTCACATTGAGAACTTCTTTGGTTTCTTCCTCCTTGTCCTGGGAGCTCAGCAGGTTGGCCTGTGGCACCCCTTTGTTCTCTGCGGGCTCCTGTGCTGCTTCAGCCTGTTGCCGGGACGGCGCCGCCCAGGAAGCAGCCCCCGGCCTTGGCTCCATTGCCCGAGCTCAGTGGTCAAAGGCTCAGGGGCACCCACGCCCCCAGGGGCCCCGTGGCCCGCCTCCTTGCTGGTGCCCGGTTGGCGGGAGTCCGGCAGGGGCTTCCGCTCCCCTCCGCGTTCCCCCAGCCTAGAGCTTTTTTTTCCTCCTTCCTGCTAGAGATGTCCAGCATCAGTGTCAACAGACTGTCCTCTGCGCGCAGTTTGCGCGAGTCCCACAGACTGTCCTCTGCGCGCAGTTTGCGCGAGTCCGGGGGGCCCGGCCTTTCGCCGCTCTCCCCGGACTCCACCTCACAGCCCTGTCTCCCTCTGCCTGAGCCTGGGTCCCCAGAGATTAGCCCAGAACTGGGGTTCGGAGCAGTCCGGACTGAGGCTCAGCGCCGCCGGAGGCCTTGTTTCTTCCGGCTAGGGTAACCCAGCATCAGAGTCAACATTCAGTCCTCTGCTCGCATTGCGCGCGACTCCCGGGGCCCTGCCTTTCGCCGTTTTTCCGCCTCACGGCCCTGTCTCCTCCCGCTGGAGCCTGGGTCCCCAGGGTCTGGCCCATAACTGGGGCTCAGCGCTGCCGGTTCGGGGGGGCTCAGTGCTGCCGGTTCGGGGGTTCAGCCCAGGCTGGGGGTTTTATTTCCTTCCTGCTAGGGAAGGAAAGACAGCTCCCCGCCCTCTCCTCCTCTCCGGCTAAGACCTCTCCGTGCGCGCGTGCGGGCAGGCGTGCAGCATGTCTCTGTACCTTAGGCTTTTTTTCAGCTCCTCTGATTTTCTTTCTGGTTTTCTCTTTCCTTCTTGTTGTAGAAATTTCAGTCAGTCGACTACCTGTAGCTCTGGGCAATGTCCACTCTACATTTTAGTTGTATTCCATTGAAATTGTTGTGTGCTGCCGCGGCTAGATGTCTACCCGAGCAGCCATCTTGGATCCTCCCTTGTTGTGTCTATTCTGTTTTTTGTACAAGTCTGATATGTCATTTAAAATTAGACATTAATTTTCCTTATGTTTGTTAAATTTTATTTGAATTTTGAAATATTTTAGTTAATTCTTTTGCTGGATATTTTTTAAAAGTTTTAAACAAATGTTATAAAGAAATACTAAGTAATTCAGCCTTTGATGGTTTTTATTTTTTTGGCAGCTAGCATTGGATATGTGGAAGAAATTACTGGTTGAACCGCTTCAGACCATCCTTATTCGAATGCTGCTCAGAGAAATCAAAAAGTGAGTTCTGATATTTACCTTCTTGAGTCAGTTCTAATTTGCTATTTTGATATTGTTTAATAGTTGCTTGGCTATTGACCAGACATAGGTCTCATGTTATTGTAATGAGCCTCATTTTCTATCTTAATGCCGATGTTTAAAAATTGTTGTTAATTTTTGGGGCAAGTCTTTGGTCTATACTTATAGCTTAAATGTGCTTAGTAAATAAATAAGTCCTTGAGGGGAGTAAGTCCCTTACTGTTTTTCAGTTCCGAAACCTCTTGGACTTTATAGGGAGTGCTGAGTTGTTTGAGCATATTATTTCAGTTTAAAGCCTGATGAGGATAACCTATTCAAGAAAGCAGATTATTCTAGTTAGTTCCTTTTCTCTTAGCCTCAGTGTTAAACCAGTAACTTGCCTGTTACTGTCTGGCAGATTTATGGGGAATAGCTTTCCATTCTACTCATGGCCCAGAGTGATTGACTCTTTACCTAATTGCTATGTCAATCAAGGTTGAGACAAAGGAAGTTTTCCTATGGAGTTCAGAATAGAATATCCGTGGGTCAGCTCTGGCTTAAAAGATTTTTACTAATCTTTGGAAGTCAGGAGAATTAAATCAGCTTTGGAGAAGCAAAAGCATTAAAAGTCAGTTATGCAATTTCAGGTTACTGGAACTAATGTTTATAAGAATTACTTAGACTAGTGAATTGCAGTGTGATAATGACCACTCTTTCGGAATCTTCTTTCTTTTTTACTTCTTTCTTACTTTTTAAAATTTAATTTTAAAATTTTTATTTTATTAAATTACAGTTTATAGTCTATTATTTTGTATTAATTTCAGGTCTATACATAAGCACATATTTTTTACAGTGTTTCCCCTGATATTTCCAGTACCCTCCTGGCACCAAACATAGTCATTATTGGCTTTAGTAGAGGCCCGGTGCACAGAATTCATGCATAAGTAAGGTCCCTAGGCCTGCCTGGTGATCAGGGCCGATCTGTGGAGTGACCAGCAGGGCGATCGGGGGACCCCCACTGGCACCCGCCTTGGCGGACCTGGCGTTGCCCACTCACCAGCCCTGCCACCTGCTGCCGCCACTGGTTGCCTCCCTCTGCAGGAGGTGACCGGTAGGGCGATTGGGGGGCAGCGTTGGCCTGCTCACCAGCCAGCCCCAGCCGCTCACCGATTAACCCCTCCTGCTCCCTTGGCTGTTGAACAGTATAAGAAAAGATTCCCCTTAAAGATAAAAAGTCTCCTGTGCTTGAATGGGAAGAAACTCAGCAACTCTTGCAGATCTCTCTCTTTTTTTTTTTTTTTTTTTTTAATATATTTTATTGATTTTGTACAGAGAGGACGGGAGAGAGATAGTTAGAAACATCGATGAGAGAGAGTCATTGATCAGCTGCCTCTTGCACACCCCCTACTGGGGAGATGCCCGCAACCAAGGTTGCCTTTGACCAGAATCGAACCCAGGTCCTTTCAGTCTCCAAGCCGACTCTCTATCCATTGAGCCAAACCGGTTTCGGCTCTTGCAGATCTCTTAGAGAGAACTATTATAGTTATTAGCCATTTCAGTGAGTGATATGTTCTATAGACAAATCTTATAATAGTGTTTTTTGGTGAGTGAAGTTCAGATATTCTTGACCACCAACATTCAAGTATTGAATTGATGGGCTTATAATCTACTCTAAAATTAGAGGATAATTTTAGTGTCAACAGAATATGCTTAATTTTACAATCAAGGCTTTTATTTATTGAAATGACATCCAATATGTTCACTAAATATCAAATATTAATTAAGCTGTTAAGTAAAAAAATTAAAATTTTAAGCATTATGACACATTGATGCTTTACAATTTAATCCAACTAATAGAATAAGCAGTCTTGTTTTGTCAGACTTTGGTATTTCCATAGATAATTTGTGTTCTTAAGAATATTTTGTGTCATACCTTCTTTTAGTGATCGTGGTGGTGAAGACCCAAACCAGAAAGTAATCCACGGGGTTATTAACTCCTTTGTTCATGTTGAACAGTATAAGAAAAAATTCCCTTTAAAGGTAAAAAGTCTCCTTTAAAATCTTGTGTAATCAGACCTTTAATTTCTTAAATTGCTTGTTTTTATTTTTTCAATCTGATTTTAATTAATTTATTTAGTTTTATCAGGAAATCTTTGAGCTCCCCTTTCTGACTGAAACAGGAGAGTATTACAAACAAGAAGCTTCAAATTTATTACAAGAATCAAACTGCTCACAATATATGGAAAAGGTAAGAAAGAAACGTATGTTAAACACATAATTTCTTATATTCAGGCATGGTTTTATGGAACAGTTTTCTTGTTAATATATATTTTTGGTGAAAAAGTTTCTGTTTGGTATTTACTCCGAGTTATATTATAGTTAATGTACAATACCTATTGATAAATTATTTTTCTTGCGGTAGCATATTCCATGAAGAAATGTGCTTTTCTGATTTTTATCATGACTGATACTTTTTTATAAGTCCTGATTGCTTGATTTGCTTGTCTTTAAAATTAACATGTATTTATGTTTTGGCAAAATCTATATTTCATGCTTAGTGAATATGTTTAGGGAATAGTATAGATGCTAGGTGTTTAGGTTATTATCTTCTTCCTTTAAAATGGAAGGAAAAATATAATAATTTTGTAGATACTTGGATAGATCACTCTTCTGGTCTGTAAAGTTTTTAATGAAAAAAAATTTAATTTCTCCACAAGAAATTTTTATTTTTGAAATTGATTTCAGAAAGGAAGGGAGAAGGAGAGAGGAACAGAAACATCATTGATGAGAGAGAATCAGTGATCAGCTGCCTCCTGCATGTCCCCCACTGGGGAGCGAGCCCGCATCCCTGGTATGTGCCCTAACCGGGAATCGAACCATAACATCTTGGTTCATAGGTCGATACTCAGCCACTGAGCCACAGTCGCTGGGCTCTCCACAAGAAATTTTAATCATTAAACCAACACATACTGATGACCATATTTAAAATTCTGTGTGTATTTTCTCAGTAAAAGTATTAGTCATAGTATAAATTCAGTCATCACACAAGATATGTAAGAAATTTTAATGAGTTTTTTTTCTTTTTTTTTTTTCCCATCTGCAGTATTGGATTTCAAGCATTTCATTATAGGATGATTTTTCTAATTTAAGCAAGAAAGATAAATATAAGTAGAATAGCTATAGTATGTACATAGTTCATAGTATAGAACATAGGTCAAGAAATACCATTACTTACTGATAAGCTGTTATATATTTCACAAAGTCCAGGCCTAGAAGTCTGAGCTGTTTAGCCTCTTCCTTTTTTTGTCACTCATTAGCTCTTGAGTAAGTCATCTGGGGCATTTTCCTCCACCTATTGCATGCAGGTTACACATTAGTCCTCAGCTTTTAGCCTTTATGCATCTGAGACTCTTGTTAAAGGATCTAGATCCAATCTAGAAAAGTGCTCACAAAATTAAGTTGATGCATACACCTCATTATATCTGGCTCTCAAAAGAGGCCACTGGCAAAAATATTGTATACTTTTTAGATGAAATATCTAGAATAGGCAAATTCTTAGAGACAGAAAGTAGATTAGAAGTTTTTATAAGGGGTGGATAGGGAGTTATTGCTTAATGTTTATAAAGTTTGGTGTGATGAAAGAGTTTTAGAAATTGTTCATTGTGAATATAATGCCATTTAATTATATATTTAAAAATGGTTAAAATGGCAAATTTTATGTTATATACATTTTATCACAATTTTGAAAACACTAATAATCTTATATACCAAAAACTTGAATTCACCCTTGCATGGGTGAATCATATGATATGTAAATTTTATCTCAAACTGTTAAAAGGGAGGCATTGGAAGCTCTGTTGGGAAAATAGCATTTATAAGAGTAATCAAACTAAATAATGTAGTCTTCCTACTTCCCTTTCTATATATTTCCTCTTAATTTTGGCCTTTCCCTCCAGCTATTTTATAGCTATTGAAGCCCTGATCCAGACACTCCAGCCTTGTCTGTTTCTCTTAATATGCACCTAAGCCTCAGCCCCACCCAGTTAGCAGTTTTCTTTTTCTCCTCCTCCCTTAGCTCCCTCAGACCCACACTCTTAATTACTGTTGCATTTAGTTAATCCATAAAATATTAAAGTCAGAGTATGGTATAAATAACTACTAGACATGCTACTTTTAGTACATTTTTATTTTAATTAATTTTTAATTGAACTTATGGGTATTTGTCTATCTTCACATAATCATCTTCCCTCTGTATAAGAACTTATTTTTTAATTCTTAAAAATATACTTTTATTAATTTCAGAGAGGAAGGGAGAAGGAGAGAGAGATAGAAACATCGATGATGAGAGAGAATCACTGATCATTTGCCTCCTGCATACCCCCACTGGGGATTAAGCTGGCAACCTGGGCATGTAACCTGACTGGGAATCATAGATTGATGCTCAACCACTGAGCCATGTTGGTCGGGCAGGACTATTTTTATTTTAAAAGAAAAACATGACCAAAATGACTTTCTTTGTTGATGAAATACTCTAGACCCCATCTTTGGTTGCTATGACTTTGCCCTGAACTCCTGGCTCCACACAACACGGTCGCACAATAAGAAAGATAGGATTGTGTCTCTCAGTCTTGAGCCTCACTTTCATCGAAAGATATCTGAGAGGTTTCCAGGAATGTGTTATTTCCCCTCTCAAAGTAATTTTTTCTCTCAGCATCACCTTATGCATAGGCAAACTCAAGCAGTTCTTCCCAAAGGCTTAAATGCACAAAGTTCCTGGGACCAGTTCAGAAACTCTAGATCCATAGTTTTACATTACAGAATACTTTCCTTTTTCTGTTTTGTTAATCCTCACCTGAAGATATATTTTTCATTGATTTTTAGAGAAGGTATAGGAGAGGAAGGGATGGGAGGGGAGGAATGAGAGAGAGACATCAATGTGAGAAAGACACATCAGTTGGTTGCCTTCCACAAGGAATGGAACCTGCAACCCAAGTAATGTGCCCGTGACTGAGAATCAAACCCAAGATCCTTCAGTGCATGGGCTGATGCTCTAACCACTGAACATGTCAGTCAGGATCAGAATATTTTCAAATCTAAACATTTGTGTATGCATGCTCTGTGCTGGCATGATTTTCATTGCAAATTAGTTTTGTTTTGAGGTAGAAATTAGCCCAATTCTCTGGCTGTTATCTTTATTAGTTCTTGTTAATGTTAACCAGTGTATTGTTTGTAACTCAGTGCTTTTTATATAGGAAAAATTAAAATAAAGGTCTTTTCGACATATTTAACTATGCCTAAGTATATTTTGACTTACAAAAATTTTTTTAAAAATATATTTTATTGATTTATTTTTACAGAGAGGAAGGGAGAGAGATAGAGAGCTAGAAACGTCGATGAGAGAGAAACATCGACCAGCTGCCTCTTGCACACCCCCCACTGGGGATGTGCCCGCAACCAGTGTACATGCCCCTGACCGGAATCGAACCTGGGACCTTTCAGTCCGCAGACCGACGCTCTACCACTGAGCCAAACCGGTTTCGGCTTGACTTACAAAAATTTTAATGAAATCTTTACTGTGATAGTTAACTATGATATTAATATCATTTTCAAGGCACCAACATAAAATAATCAGATTAATCTACTTGATCCAATTAATATGAGTTATTTTTATATTAATAATTATATATTTATAAAGTGACTATCTATTTGGTTTTTAATAATCTTCACTCGCTTGTCCTATTGCATGTTAGGTTGTCTATATGATAGGATGATCAAGATCAGTAAATGAAGACAAATATAGACTACATAACTTTGGTTCTTTTTCATAAGACTGTGGTGAAATATAGGTGACAGCTAGTAGCTTAAATAAACTTTGAATTCATTTATGGAATGTGGATTTAAATTGCTTGTGTAATCATTATTCATTACTTGGCCATGTTTAACTGAACATTAAATTAGGCTACCTAAGCTACTTACTGATATTACAGTGTTTTTCTCCTGGTAGTTTATGCTATAACAATATATTTCTAAAGGTTCTAGGTAGATTAAAAGATGAAGAAATCCGATGTCGAAAATACTTGCACCCAAGTTCATATACTAAAGTGATTAATGAATGTCAGCAACGAATGGTAGCAGACCACTTACAGTTCTTACATGCAGAATGTCATAATATCATTCGACAAGAGAAAAAAAATGGTAAGTGACACGAAATATAAATATAAATTAAAATAGAATTATAAACCACTTTTTATGTAGTCAAATTAACTTAAATTTAAAGTATATTTTAGTCATAATCTCTAAATTCATAATTTATTTTAAAGGACTATTTTGGAACCAAGTATATTCACAAAAGGGCATTCTAAACTAAAAGAAAAACCTGAGAAAATAGGTTTGCACATTTTTATGTATTATAAGAGCTAATTGCCTTAATTAAGAATTTTAATAACAATAGGAAAAAGGAAAAGAATATAGCAGGGAAATATAAATGAATTTTAAATATGTGGAGATGCACAATCTCACTCAAAATAGGTGGCAGACAAAATAAAAATACAGCAGCTCTCTATGGAGCATGCCCGCACCTTTTCCCAGGTGCATTTTCCTGGTCCTGGTCTCTCTCTTCCTCCTAAGCTCCAAGAGCCTTTTTTGCTTCTGTAACTTGTTTTTTAAGCCCATTTATTCTACAGATCACTACTTGTAAATCTCCGACTTTCTAAATGAACTTTCTCTTATGGTTTCTGTTAAATAAATAATTAAAAATGAAAATACTTGATTTAAGGCAAAAGGGGCACTACAGAGTATTAGGTGAAAGATGATAGTCTTTTCAACCCATAATGTTGAGTCAACTGGCTATTCATTTAGAGAAATGTGAAATTTGATCTCTACCTTAGACACTATATAAAAATCAAGTTATTATAGGCTTTTTAAAATCCTCACCCAAAGAGTGAGGATATTTTTTTCTACTGATAACTAAAAAGAGTAGAAGGAAGGAGGGAGGTGGAGAAAGAGAGAGAGAAACAAGACACTTTGATTGATTGCCTCCCACACAGGTCAGGAATCGAACCTGGGACCCAGGTTGATGCTCTTAATTGAGCAGGAATGGAACCTTTGAAATTCTGGTGTGCAGGCTGACACTCTATCCATTGATTCATGCTAGCCAGGGTCATTGTAGGCTTTTTTTTTTTTTTTTTTTTTTTTAATATATATATTTTATTGATTTTTTTTTACCAAGAGGAAGGGAGAGGGATAGAGAGTTAAAAACATCGATGTGAGAGAAACATCAATCAGCTGCCTCCTGCACACCCCCTACTGGGGATGTGCCTACAACCAAGATACATGCCCTTGACCAGAATCGAACCTGGGACCCTTCAGTCCACAGGCTGATGCTCTATCCACTGAGCCAAACTGGTTTTGGCTCATTGTAGGCTTTTGATCTAAATGTAAAACAAAAATAATTCTAGGAGATAATATAGGAGAATAACTTCATGACCCCGAAAGAGGGAAAGATATTTTAAGTAAGACAGAAAAAGCACCAGCCACAAGGAAAGATTGATCAAGTGGACTGCTTTAAAATTAAGAACTCTGGATTATCAAAAGATAGTCATAGGGTAAATATATATTTGCAGTGACTACAAAAGGTTTATGTTCAAATGTAAAATGGCCAAGAAATTTGAACAGGCACAGGAGAGTAGAGGATATCCAGATGGCCAATAAACATAAAAAGGCACTTAATCTCATTAAAACAGAGGAATGCAAACTAAAACCACACTAAGCTATCAATACTTCTGATTGAAAATTTAAAAAATTAAAAATAATAATTTTGGACCCTGGTCAATGTGGCTCAGTATTTTGGGCATCATCCCAGGCACTGAAAGGTTATCAGTTAGATTCCCAGACAGGGCACATGCAGGGATTTGGGCTTGATTCCCAGTAGGGGCTGTGCAGGAGCAGGCAATCGGTGTTCACTCTCACATCGATGTTTCTCTTTCCCTCTCCCTTCCTCTCTTTCTAAAAATCAATTATAAAAATCTAAAATAATAATAAGTGTTGGGAAGCATGTAGAATAGTGGGAACTTGTTATATACTGGGCTGAGAATATAAATTGATGCAGCCACTTTGAAAAAACTGGCATTAACTGCTAAAGTTGAATATATGAAAACTATCCCTTTCCTATACATATAATTCCCTGGCAAAAGAATATGCAAATATATACAAAAAAGTTCATAGCAGCATTTGTTTGTAATAACCAAATGGAACAACTCAAATGTCTAAAAACAATAGAATAGATGAAGTACATTATATTCATACAATGGGATATAATAGAAGAGTGAAAATGAACAAATTACATTTACATATAACAACATACATATAAGCATTTGAACAAAAGAAGGTAAACATAAAAGAATTGTTTTGATTCCATTTTTGTAGATAGTTCCAAACAGGCAAAAGTAATCTTTGGTTAAGTTCTTATGACAGTGATTACCATTGCAGAAGAGCGAGAGAAGTAATGATTGGGAAGAGGGGGGAAGGGGACTTCTAGGTGTAGATAATGTGTTTTTTTACCCTGAGTAGTGATTACATAAAGGTGTTTGTTTGTGTTCACTTGTGATAATTTATTGAGATACACACTTTGGTTTATACACTTTTCTGTATGTATGTTATATACTTTAATAAAAAAAAAGTTTAAAAAGAAGCCTTTAGACTGAGACATTTTTCACCTCTCATTGGCAAAGGTCAAAATGTTTGATAACACATTGTTGGCAAGGGAGCTTCCTGCTGTTGGGAGCTCTGTTTAGAAGGATCCTTTTGGAAGATTAAGCTTTGACCCAGCAATACCACTTCTAGGGATTTATACCATAGATGTTTATGTCCATATACAGAACTATTAATTGTAACATTGTAGTATCAAGAGATTGGAAGCAACCAAACTTCCAACAGTTGTTAAGTAATTTTATATATAGTAAGTGCTTTACAGTTGTAAAATATGAAGAAATGCTCAGTGTACTGATAAAAAAAAATCTCTGAGTAAAAATGTATTTTGCAGTTGCAAATAATATACAAAATAAACTAAACTTTTATAAAAAGGGGCAGAAGGAAGAATATATGTAGTACTTGCTTGAGTGTGCATGAAAGAGCTTTGAAAGAACACAATATTGCTTTCCCATGGGAAGGAGGACTGGGTGGTTGGGAGAAAGGACTTGGGGATTTTCTCTGCATACTCTTTCTGCATTTTGAGCCATATATTACCTAATATTTTAAACATATTTGGAAATCTAATACAAATTTTTCCCCCCTCAGACATGGCAAATATGTATGTCTTACTCCGTGCTGTGTCCACTGGTTTACCTCATATGATACAGGAGCTGCAAAATCATGTCCATGATGAGGGCCTTAGAGCGACCAGTAATCTTACTCAGGAAAATGTGAGTTATATAAGGAACTGGGGGATTTTTCTCTTAATCAGATTATCATGCATTTAGGTTTTTTGTTATCGCTTTACTGTCTTTAAACAATGAAAAAAAGTCTTACCATGCCAATAGATTAAACATCTTTATTAAAATGTTTCAAGCCTAAAGTTTGTTGGACACACTTTGGAGTAATCAAATTATTAGAAAATAATTGAATGATATACGTTTTTTTCTTAGATATATTGATGTGTTCACTTAGCATTTTAAATAATTGTATTTCTATATAACTAGCACTAATAGTTGTAGTGGTAATGAAATTAATCAATAGTAATAGGGAGAACTGACAATTTGCTTTCTTTATATATACTATGAGTTTGATAGCCCAGGAAGCAAAGTTAGATTAAAATGATCTTCCCTAAATATATGCTTACATGGTTACCACTATGTCCCTAATACCCACTTTTCTTTAAGAGTTCTCTGACAATCAAATGACTATTTAAAAAAAGGCATCTTTCCTATCACTGTATTCCTATCATCAATCTTGTTGGACCATCTTGTTTTTACTAGTGATGTTTTTTGAATAAATAGATATGACATGAGATGTTCTTTATCCTAAGTAGAGCTATTTACTTGTCATCTATAATGCAGTAATCGATAATAGACAACATTATTCAGATGATTATCACTTTAGTTGTAGATTTATTGATCTTTGGCAAATGTTAGATTTTATGTCCTACCACAGTAATACAAACTATTAGTTCCCCTATCTGGTTTGGCTCAGTGGATAGAGCATCCGCCTGTGGACTGAGGGGTCCCAGGTTCAATTCTGATCAAGTGCACACCCCCATTAGGGGGCATGCAGGAGGCAGCCAATCAGTGATTCTCTCTCATTATTGATGTTTCTCTCTCTCTCTCTCTCTCCCTCTTCCTCTCTGAAATCAATAAAAATATATTTAAAAAAATAAAAATAAACTATTAGTTGATATATTTTTATGTTTATTAATCTGTTATTTATTGGGTTTATTAATTAATTTTATTAGTTTTACAGATTCAGGGTGTTAAATCATATTCAGCATAGAGGCATAGAGTTTGCTTCAAGGACTGGGAGATAGAAATAAAAGAGAATGAATTTGTAATAGATTCTAATAATTTTAGCTAACTTAGTTAACTCTTAAGTACCATATAATTATCCCCATTAAGAGTGAAAACTTACACTCTAAATGGTTGCTTAGTGGTTAGAGCATTGGCTCAAGGACTGAGGGTTTGTGGGTTCGATTCTAGTCAAGGGCATGTACCACAGTTGCAGGCTCAATCACCAGCCCCGGGCAGGGCACGTGCAGGAGGCAATCAATCAATATGTCTCTCTTACATGGATGTTTCTCTGTGTCTCTATCTCTCCCTTCCACTCTCTCTAAAAATCAATGGAAAAAATATCCTCGGGTAAGGATTAACAAAATAAAAAAATAAATAAAATAAAAAAGGAGTGAAAGCTAAGTATTTCCTTACTCTGAGTTGTGGGGGATTGTCCAAATCCAGGGGTCTCAATTTTCAGATACTTGCTTTTGAGCTCTGCTCTTTCAGACTTCAGCAGCTTTGAAGGCAGTTTTTGTTTATATAATCCTGTTTGAAAGTGATAGGTTTTGTGGTTCAGAGACTGTGTCTTGTTACCCTTAAGAAACAGTATTCCAATATTGGAGAGAAGTGTGTTTTTAATGAGTTCTTCAGGCAGAGGAATTAGCCCTGCATTGCTGGTGTTGAATGATAGCTAATTTCAACATTAAAGTTTTAGATTTTTAAGACAGTTTCTAAAAATATATATATATTTATTGATTTCAAAGAGAAAGGGAGAGGCAGAGAGAGAGAATCATTAATGATGAGAGAGAACTATCAGCTGCTTATTACACTCCCCACACTGCGGATTGAGCCTGCAGCCCAGGCATATGTCATGACCAGGAATCGAACTGTGATCTTCTGGTTCATAGATCAATAACGAACTACACCGGCCAGGCAAAACAATTTTAACTAAAAATATTTTTTGAGAAAGTGTGTGCTTGCATAACATTAATTTGCTTGGAAAAAACGTAATTAAATGACAATTTTTGATAATCCTAATTATATCTTTGAACTTAAAATGTATTTTGTATTTATAGATGCCAACACTATTTGTGGAGTCAGTTTTGGAAGTACATGGTAAATTTGTTCAACTTATCAACACTGTTTTGAATGGTGATCAGCACTTTATGAGTGCTTTGGATAAGGTAACTTTAATAATATCTGTATTTACAGTTGCTTCTCAACTTATGACGGGGTTATGTCCTGGTAAACCTGGCATAAGTTAAAAATTTATTTAATGCACCTAACCTACTGAACATTTTACCTTAGTTGAACCTACCTTAAACATTCTCAGGACACTATTATTAGTTATAGTTGGGCAAGGTCATCTAACACATTAAATTCATGGGGGAGTATCATTATTTATCCTTGTGATGGCACACTTAACAGGGAACTGTGGCTCACTGCCACTCCCCAGCATTAGTATAGAATATTGTACCACATATCACCAGCTTCGGAAAAGATCAAAATTCAAAATACAGCTTATTGAATACGTATCGCTTTCTCACATATTAAAGAAAAAAAAAGTCATCTTAAGTCAGGGAATGTCTGTATAAATATAGTTGACCCTGGAACAATTCAGGAAATAGTAGCCCGATACTCCTCTCCTTTAGTTGAAAATTCACATATAACTTTTGACTTCCCCAAAACATAAACAGTCACTAAGTGCATATTTTATATATTTAGAATAACTATATTATTACAAAGTAAGTTAGAGAATAAAAAATGTTATTAAGAAAATCTTAGAGAAGAAAAAAATACATTTACAGTATTTGTATCAAAAATCCGGGTGTAAGTGGACCTGTGTTGTTTAAAAGTTAATTAGAATTCTGTTTCTTTATTCATTCTTTAGGGTGGTTTCAGGATTGAGGCTTCTAAATTACAAGTTTTCTAATCTTGACATGGAGATTACATAATTTAAATGTGAACATCAAAATAATAATACAACTTTCAAATTAATAACAAATAGTTAAATTAAATGTTAGAATTATGTGGAGATTGAATTTCTCATGATTATGAGTACAATGCTTCTAAGGGGAATTGTTAGTAAACATTCTAACATGTTCTGGAAAAACATGTATAATTTTAATGTTTTAGTGCTGATTTTTAATTTCAATATAATCTGTAGGCTATATAAGTAATATTTCAAAGAAATAAATATATTTTTCAAATTTTTGAATTTTGGTATACTTTAAAGGAAATTTGCTGATATGGTTATTGTAAGATTTTTTAAAAATTTAGTTTTATTTTATCTGTGTTCAAATATCAGTAATGAGTTATAAAGAATAGCTTTCAGTATGAATGGAATATATAATTGGTCTATAACTATCATGAGGCATATAGTTAGAGGAGTTTACCCTGTGTTCAAAATGAAAACAAAATTAACAAACTACAACCAAAATATTGTGTTTTATGTAGGTTAATAATTTATGGATGTGCAGATTATACCCTATTATTAGTTAATTACCAGCTTGTTTTCTATTTAGGCTCTTACATCAGTTGTAAATTACAGAGAACCCAAGTCTGTTTGCAAAGCTCCTGAATTGGTAAGTTTGATGATTGCTTAAAAATAATCTTATGGACATCAATATTAGAAAATGAAAACTGAGGAGAATGTTAAATTAATATGTATTTGTAACATTTTTCAGAAGAAAAATCCATGAAACTAAATTATTAAAAGTAAAAATTATCTACATCATATATAATTTGGCACTTATTTAAGGAATACAGTTGGGCCTATGTACTATAACCGTTTCTTGAGAAATAACTGAAGGAAAAAAAATACTTTATTTAATATAAAGTTTGGTGTGTATGTGTGTGTGTTTTAATATGAAACGCTTCACTGATTTGTGTGCATCTTTATGCAGAGGCCATGCTAATTTTCTCTGTTCTAATTTTTTTCAAGGCTTCTAAAATCCAAGCAGTACAATTTGGGTTTTAAAGTATGTCTTCTTTGAAATAATTTGCATTACTTCTCATAGAGATTTTGTTTTGTTGGAAATTTGATGATAATTAAAGAAAATTTAATTATAAAGTTGTGGTAAGAATAAAAACAGTAATTATTTAATGTCGAAAATTATAGAACTATTCAAAACGCATCTAGGTGTTCTTTTGAAACTTCTGTTGTTTATGTTAGTGTTTTATTGTTCACTAAATGTTGATTATATTTTTGACTTGTTTATAGTTTTCTTAAAAACTTGCCTTATGACATATTTTGAATTCTTTAGTGCATGTTCATAATTTTAAAAACAAAAGCTTTAGGATGGCAGAGACTTTATCCATTGATATTTTGTACTATTGTCCTTTATCTCTGTTGAGGCATGTATATAGAAGGGCCCTTTATAAGATATACTGTCCATTTCTATTTGAGCTTGCTAAGTACTGTGACAACTTACTAAAGAAGTCAGCAAAGGGAATGACTGAGAATGAAGTGGAAGACAAACTCACCAGCTTCATTACTGTTTTCAAATATATTGATGATAAGGATGTTTTTCAAAAGGTAAGTTGTGAATAAAGAAGTTTTATTTGGTTTAATCAGATTTTATTTATTTTTGAAATATAAGTCATCAGAAAGGAAGTAATCTTTAGAAATATTTTTTAATATAGTTCTACGCAAGAATGCTGGCGAAACGTTTAATTCACGGGTTATCTATGTCTATGGATTCTGAAGAAGCCATGATCAATAAATTAAAGGTAATGTGAGCCTTTCATCGGATTATGTCCTAGAAATTATTCTACTAGCACAAAGAGAAGTTCATTGTAGTATTAGATATAACAACAGGAAATAATCAACAGGTGATTGGTTAAATGTATAATGGTATATCTATATGATGGGATATGCAAATATTATATTAAAGAAAGCTCTCTCTATATAAAAGGTGTCCCTTAAAATTTTATACACACTTTGAATATACTAGGTGTACCAGTTAATAATGTGGATTTTTTCAGTAGGTGGAGTTACACATATGTTGATATATATGCTATTTGTTATATTGACAGCAAGCTTCAAAACTTCATATGTCAAATTTTCTGAAGGTGTTAACATCATAAATATTTTAATGCTAAAAATGTCAAATTTCATGCCAAAATAAGAGCATTTGTGTGAAGTTATAATTCATTGTTTATTTTGAAGAAACGTGCTGCTGAAAGTTATTGTTACACCTTAGGAAACTTATGGTGAACATGGTGTATTTCAAGATACTTGTGAACATTGGTTTAAATGCTTTAAAAGTGATGATTTTGATGTAAAAGACAAAGAATGTCTAGGTTAACTGAAAAAGTTTGAAGACCAACAATTACAAGCATTATTGGATGAAAATTTGGGTCAAACTCAAAAAACTTGCTTAAAGATTAAACATTGCTTAGCAAACAATTTCCCATCATTTACAAGCAATGGGAAAGATTTTAAAGGAAGGAAAATGCGTGCCACATCAACTGAATGAAAGACAAATGGAAAACAAAAAGTCATCAGTAAAATGTTGCTTTAATGGCACCAAAGAAAGTCTTTTTTACCTCGAATTATGACTGGCTATGAAAAGTGGATTTATTCTGAGAATCCCAAATGCACAAAATTCTGGATTGTTCCAGGTCAACCATCAACATCGACTGCAAGGCCAAATCACTTTGGAAAAAAGACAATGCTCTGCGTTTGGTACAATCAGGAGTGTGTGGTGTCTCATAAGCTTCTAAAACCAGGTGAAACCGTTAACACTCATTGCTATAGATAACAAATAATCAATTTGAACCACGCACGCTTTGATCATGAAACGACCAGAATGTGCCAGAAGACATGGCAAAGTAATTTTGCTTCATGATGACGCACCACCACACACTTCAAAACCAGTTGAAGACACGTTAAAAGATCTTGCCTGGGAAGCATTATCCCACCCGCTGTATTCACCAGACCTTGCTCCTTCAGATTACCACTTGTTCCATTTGATGGCACATGCACTTTCTTAGCAGCACTTCAAAATGTACAAAAAAGTAGAAAATTTGGTCTCTGAATGGTTTGCCTCAAAACAAGAAAAGTTTTATTGGGACGATATCCACAAATTACCTGAATGATGGCGAAATGTGTAGCTAGTGATAGACATTACTTCAATTAAAGCACTTTTGATGTTTCTCTTGAAATTATCGTGTTTTCTTTGATTATTATTAACAGGTACACCTAGTAATTATAAAGGCAGTGATTATTAAAATATATTTTATTTTCATTTAACAGTTATCAGGTATTAAAAGTGTATACATTTTTTGGGACATTCTGTATATTGATATAGACTTATCCATAAAATAAACAGTATTAACAAAAGATTTGTATTATTTATAAATAAATGCACCTGAAATATTACTTTAAGTACAAGTTTTGTAGTGCTGTTGAATTTTAGTTTATTTTTACTTCATTTTAGGTTACATATTGGTGAAATAAGTAGTAGCTGAGACATATTTATGCTGAAATATCCAGTAGTTGATAATTTTTCTGAAGAGTAGACTTGAATATAATATGAATACCCTTGACCATAGAACTAGCAATAGTAACATGTTCTAATTAATTAATATGTTTTATTATTATTCTTTTTAAATCATGTGTTTGTTTTAAACTCTTTTTACAGCAAGCATGTGGTTATGAGTTTACCAGCAAGCTGCATCGGATGTATACAGATATGAGTGTCAGTGCTGATCTCAACAATAAGTTCAACAATTTTATCAAAAATCAAGACACAGTAATAGATTTGGGAATTAGTTTTCAAATATATGTTCTACAGGTATGATATATGTTTTATTCTAGGCATTTACTACTCATTTCAAATAGTCTGATCCAAACAATTAATAAATAGAGACCTCATTGCATTTTCTTCAATAAATGGATTGTAGCTTCTAATGTTATATGTTATATTGATTTGGAATGAAATGTACCAAGATAGTAATCTAATGAGTTTTGTCAACATTTTGAGAAAAGAAAAAAAGAGGTGCTTTAGTTTAAATCATTTTTTTAAATAAATATTTATTTTCAAGTTAGATGCTTGTCATTTTAAATTTTTTATTCTACTTATTTTCTTTTAGGCTGGCGCATGGCCTCTTACTCAGGCTCCTTCATCTACATTTGCGATTCCCCAGGAATTGGAAAAAAGTGTACAGATGGTAAGTTTGCAGGATATATATTAGAAGACCTAAGGAATTTTAATAATTATCTTCATGTTATATCACTTTAAATATTTTCCAAAGTCTTAGTTGCTTGTGATATAAAATATATATTCAGAAATCGTTATATACTTTGTAGGAAATATAAATTATTTTTAATATTAAAACTCATAAGCAAAGGTTATCATAGAGTTCTTTGTGAAAACATGACTCTTACAGTAAAACCTAATATCAGCTCTTAAGCAGTTTTAAATTACAAAAACTCTTGATATTAGAAGGAAGGTTAGAACTTAATACTTAAATCACTTTCTAATTTTTTATTTGAATTTAGAGCCATTTTTATACTTCATTTATCCCTTGAAGTTTTTTATTTCTGGGCAATTTTTTTTTTTTTAACTAAATTTATTGGGGTGACATTGGTCAACATGAACATACAGGTTTTCAGGTGTGAGTTTCTGTGTTACAAGATCTGTATATCGCACAAGGTGCCCACCATCCACAGTCAAATCTTTTGTCACCATATATTAGGATCCTTTTCTATTCACAATGTCTTCCCTCTGGTAACCACCACACTGCTGTTTGTGTTCATGAGTTTCAGTTTTCTATCCTTCATATGAATAAAATCCTGTGGTTCGTAGCCTTTTGTGACTGACTTATTTCCCTTAGCATAATGTTCTCAAGGTCCATCCACATTATTGCAAATGGTACTATTTCATCCTTTCTTATGGCTTTATTAGAATTTCATTGTATGCTAGGTATATCAATTAATAATACAGATTTTTGTATTCAAAGTAAGCACAATAATTTCAAGAGAAACATCAAAAGTGCTTTATTCAAAGTAAAGTCCATCGCTAGTTACACATTTTCCCCACCTTTCAAGTAATTTGTGGATAACCAATCTAGATGGAACTTTTCTGTTGTGAGGCAAACCATTCAGAGACCAAATTTTCTACTTTTTTGTACATTTTGAAGTGCTGCTAAGAAAGTGCATGTGCCATCAAATGGAACAAGTGGTAATCTGAAGGAGCAAGGTCTGGTGAATACAGCGGGTGGGATAATGCTTCCCAGGCAAGATCTTTTAACGTGTCTTCAACTGGTTTTGAAGTGTGTGGTGGTGCGTCATCATGAAGCAAAATTACTTTGCCATGTCTTCTGGCACATTCTGGTCGTTTCATGATCAAAGCGTGCGTGGTTCAAATTGATTATTTGTTATCTATAGCAATGAGTGTTAACGGTTTCACCTGGTTTTAGAAGCTTATGAGACACCACACACTCCTGATTGTACCAAACGCAGAGCATTGTCTTTTTTCCAAAGTGATTTGGCCTTGCAGTCGATGTTGATGGTTGACCTGGAACAATCCAGAATTTTGTGCATTTGGGATTCTCAGAATAAATCCACTTTTCATAGCCAGTCATAATTCGAGGTAAAAAAGACTTTCTTTGGTGCCATTAAAGCAACATTTTACTGATGACTTTTTGTTTTCCATTTGTCTTTCATTCAGTTGATGTGGCACGCATTTTCCTTCCTTTAAAATCTTTCCCATTGCTTGTAAATGATGGGAAATTGTTTGCTAAGCAATGTTTAATCTTTAAGCAAGTTTTTTGAGTTTGACCCAAATTTTCATCCAATAATGCTTGTAATTGTTGGTCTTCAAACTTTTTCAGTTGACATGGATGCTCTTTGTCTTTTACATCGAAATCGTCACTTTTAAAGTGTTTAAATCAGCCTTCCCAAGTATCTTGAGATGGAGCATGTTCACCATAAGCTTTCCGAAGTATTCAGCAGCACTTTTCTTTAAAATAATGAATTAAAACTTCCTGCACATGAGCCCAAAAAAGATGGCGGCTGGCAGGACAGAAGTGAGGGAAAAGAAGTGAGTGAGTGGGGGTGTGAAAGGAGAGAGTGTGGATGTGTGTGGTGTGTGTATGAGTGAGTGAGGGATAGTTAAATCTCGCAGGAGCAGCAAGGGCTGGTATACCAGGCTCTCTTGGACAAGGAGGACTACTACTGCTGTGGACACTCCCTGGATTGCAGGACTCAGACACAGGAGCCCACAGCATTTTAAAGGGAACAGTGGCCTTTTCTAGAAACTCAGCAGCACCACCACCAAGATAAGACTTTGACACTGCCCACGACCCAGCAACCATTCCAGCCCAAATCCTGCTATTGTAGCTGCAGACCCATGGACCCTGGGACCTCCACCTCCAAAGGTGCACCATTCCCACAGCAGTAAGTGCATCTTCCCCCTTCCCAGCGGCAGAACTCTGGACACCACTGTCATGCGTTTCCAGCCGCGCAGGCATCCAGGGCACACCACTCTGCAGGCAGTGCCTAGGAGCCATGGAGATCCCCTGCTGGATGTGATTCTGTATAGACTAGGGTACACTGCCCCACAGTAGAAATTCTGAATTTCCTCTGCCTGAATAACTGCCCCAGCTGTGTATCTTCAGCGCCAGGGCCCCTCAAAGTGCATCAAAGCTCTGAACCAGCAAACTCACCAACACAAGACATGCACATTTCCAAAGGCCAGGCAACCCGAGCCCATATATCTACAGGGTCCTCTGGGGAGCTGCTTTGAGCCCCTGCTGGGTGTGATTCTGCATAAACAAGGATGCTCTGTCCCACAGTAGAAATTCTGAATTCTCTCTTCCTGAATAACTTCCCACATACAACCCAGCTGCTTAACTTCATTGCCATGGCCCGTCAAAGTGTGTCAGAGCTCTGTGTCAAAACGCACCACCAATCTGCACAGGCATTTCCAACTGAGAGGCATCCTAAGCCCATCTATCCACAGGGCACTTGTGGGAGCTATTTTGAGTTCTTGTTGCGTGTGATCTTAGACAAACAGGGATGCACTCCCCCGGGCAGTAGAAATTCTGAACTCACTCGCCCTGGATACCTGCATACAGACACCTCAGTTATGCGGCTTCAGTGCCAGGTTTCTTCAACGTAGTGCCCCTCACTGGCAAACACATTGCGGGTGCCCCTGTGAACCTCCACTGGGTGTGTGCATATATCCACCACAGGTGCAACAGCAAAAGCTGAGTCTGTCCACCCTACAACTATAGAACTCTGGACAACACAGTCACTCCTTTCCAGAATGCAGGCCTCCTGAGACCCATCACTCCAACAGACGGTTCCTGGGTGCCACTATGAGTCCTGCTGGACACGTACGATTTCAATCAAGGACGCAAGACAGCAAAAATTGGGACACGCCCTTCCATGGCTGCTGACTTCTACACACCACAGTTGAACCTTTCCAGCTCACAGGCCTACATCAAGAACATCCAAATAGCTCAAATAGGGTGGTATACTAGATTACCAAGCCCAGGATACCTGAGAGATCACACTCGTGGCACTATCCCCAAAAGAACCTGAGTATCAAAACAATTGGAACTACAATTAAAACGCTACAGCAAAACATGGAAAGATAAAAAAGCAATTCCCAAAGGAAAGAAAACAAGGAATCAACAGGAAGAGAGTTATGTTTCTCTCAGCATATAAGAGAAAGAATTCAGAATAATGGTTATAAGGATGTTTAAATGGCTGAATGACAAATACACACAACTCAATGACAAATACACACAATTCAGTGAGAACTATAATGAGCTGAATAAGAATGTCACCAACATGAAAAGGAACCAAGAGGAGATGAAGAATGACAGCTGAAATAAAGAACACAATGGAAGGCTTAAACAGACTAAAAGAGGGTGAGGACCGCATCAGTGAATTAGAAGACAAGGTAGGAAAAAACACACAAACACAGCAGCAACTGGAAAGAAGACTTAAAAAGCCAGAGGAGAGCCTAAGGGAGCTTTGGGACAACACAAAATGAAACAACATTTGCATAATAGGGGTACCAGAAGGAGAGGAAGAGAACCAGGGAGCACACAAATACATAACAAAACTCCTGGAGGATATCAAGGGAGAGATTAATAACAATACAATACTCTTAGTAGGAGACTGTAATACCCCACTGTCACCATTGGACAAATCCTGTAAACAAAAATTCACCAAAGAAACAACAATCTTAAATGACTCACTAGACCAGATGGAATTAATTGACATTTTCAGAACATTTCACCCCAAAGCTACAGAATATACATTCTTCTCAAGTGCACACGGGTCTGTCATTTTCATAGATAGACCACATGTTGGGAAACAGGCAAAGTCTCTTCAAATTCAAGAAGATAGAAATATCAAACATCTTCTCAGATCACTATGGCATAAAACTGGAAATTAGCTACAATAGAAACAATCCAAAAAAATCAAACACATTGAGACTAAATAGCATGCTATTAAACAATGACTGGGTTACTGGAGAGATCAAAGAAGAAATAAAAAGCATTATGGCAACAAACGACAATGAAAACACAATCCAAAATCTATGGGACACAGCAAAAGTGGTCTTGAGAAGGAAGTTCATAGCTCTACAAGCCTACTACAAAAAAACATGAAACAATGACAAATTACCTAATCCTATAACTCAAAGAGTTAGAAAGAGAGCAACAAGAAAATCCAGTGTAAGTAGAAGGAAGGAAATAATAAAGATCAGAGCAGAGATAAATGACATAAGAGAACCAAAAAAAAAAAAAAAAAAAAAAAAAAATCAACAAAACCAGGAGCTGATTCTTTGAAAGGATAAACAAAATGAATGAACCCTTAGCCAGGCTCACCAAGAAGCAAAGAGAGAGGACCCAAATAAAATCAGAAAAGAAAGGAGAAATAACAACAGACCCCACAAAAATACAAAGGATTGTTAAAAAATACTATGAACAACTATTCCAACAAACTGGACAACTTGGAGAAAATGGAGATATTTCTAGAAAAATATAACCTTCCAAAACTCAATCAGAAGAATCTAAACAGCTCAATAGGCCAGTAACTATGGACAAAATTGAAGGAGTCATCAAAAACCTTCCAGCAGCCCAAACGGATTTGGCTCAGTGGTAGAGCGTCGGTGTGCGGACTGAAAGGTCCGTGTTCAATTCTAGTCAAG